ATGGACACGAAGCTGGTCGAGAAAATAAGGGCGCATGCAAGAAAAACAAGAAGAAGTGTAAGTGAGCATGAATGGTGAGAGTATAGATGTTGAATTTGAAGTATTAAGATGTAAACTGGAGAGAAAAGAGAGGGTGATCAAAGAATAGGACACTTAAAATGGAGACCTCAGAGGCACAAGAAACTGAGAGTTAAAGGTATGGAAGAGTTAATTTTGTGGACATTAAAATCATTATGATAGGAGCAGTGCTAGAGGGAGCAGCAATGATACCGAGGAGGAAAAATCTGCAAGGAATGGGGTGGGCTATCTGAGGGTTGGTAGTGACTTCAACAGCAGGCGTAGTGGGCAAATGGAGAGAGCCATGAGATTCAAAGCTGGGTGTTGTGGAGGAGAACGTGAGGATGACATGAAACTGGCAGTGTGGGGCAGGGACACCCCCTACCTTCAGGCTCAGGGGAATGGAGAGAGTGAAAGCAGTGGCTGCCACTGGAGACGGCTTTAAGCTGGCAGCAGGCAGGGGAGAGCCAGGGTTCCGGTAAGAGCAGGACGAAGAGAACATGAATGGAAGAGGGGGATTCTCTGGGGGATTTTGCTGAAGCCAGACTGTGAGATCCACGAGGCACAGCGGAAGGGTTTCAGATGAGGAGAGGATGGAGACGGGCTCAGCAAAGATGCCCAGAGCTGTGTGGGTTAGAGTTTGAGGGATAGGTGGTGACAGGGGCAACCTGAATTTCTTATTGTGACTGAAATAAATAGGGCAAAATACATGATAGCCTTGATTGTTCCAAGGCAGATACTGGTGGTAGAGAGTGCAGGGTGTTAGGAGGAACATAAAAAATAAGAGCAACCTCAATTCCAAGGGAAATGGATAAATTATGGGACATCTAATCAAAGATTATAAGGATTTTAAAGAGTATCTGGCAACATAATACCCTCATGATAGATAAATTTAAAAAGCAAAACATAAAAGAGCACCTATGGTATTATATTAAATATAAATCTTATTTGTAAACACATGCATAAAATTGGTAGGAAATACCTAAAATAATAAACTTGTATCTTATGCTGAATATTGGGTGGCTTTTATATTTTTCTTTATTCTTTTCTAATTTCCAAATCTCTTATAAAAAGCTTATTTTTGTTTGTAATCAGAAAAAAAAACTTCATGTAATTTTTACATAGTTGTATCCTCTGATGCTCTTCTAAGATGCTGTTAATATTTTATTTCTTGACATAAGCAGTGGTTTTCCAAAGTTATCATTTTTTTGTTACTTTTTAAAATATAGACTGTGGTGAATGTCTTTTTTCCCTCGTATATTTTATTTCACACACACAGCGTTATGTTCCCTGCAGTTTAGCTGGCTTCTGCATGCAGTACCTATCTGAGCGTGTGTGAGGAGAAATGAGCACATGGACCTTACTGAAGACCAGCTCAAGGGACTACCTGGCATATGGATGTTTCAGGGTCACACAGACTGCTGTGTCCATGACACTGACATGGGACACAGGTGCCCAGGGTTGGTCCATGGGTGCGGCTGCCTGGCTGGGAACTCAGTCGATAAAATCCTGGCAAGCATGTCTGAAAGAAAAGGAAGCCAATTAGGACAGCTAAGTTAGAAATCTTGCATTAGCAACATTAGGTTCTTCAGTGTTTAAAAAGACAGACTTCTTTACCTCATCTGTGTTAGGGGCAACACCACTTATAAACGCAAGTGACAATTTTGATACCTAATGTGCATTTCTGCCTGGTCCCTAAGGTGGGCAGGCAGCATCCATGTGTTATCAGAGTTTAGCCAAGGAAAGCTTTCATTTTCATATATGACTCAGCCTGCAAAAGCTTAAGATATTCTTCTTCCTGAGAAAGAGGTTTGTTTTTAAATAACATTGTCATATGGGCTAAAAAGATAATTCAAATATCCTTAACAAACTAAAATCTGCTACTGTGCTTGATGGATAACTAACAAATGTCCAATGAAACCTAGCAAAAAATTAAATTAAAAAGTGTCATGGATGTATTATTTATACCAATATAATTTAAAGGATATAAAGGTAAGAAATTCAAAATAATAAAAGCTCTACATGTCTTGGGACTATTAGGCCACCAATAAAATTTATCTTTCCCTGATATACTTTTTTTTCATTTTGTAATGAAAATCTAAAAACAAACAGAAAAATGCTAGTGAAGCTGACATATGCAAAATCCAGACTTCCATCTTCATTCAAGTTTATTATGTAAATGTATCAACAAAAGTTTCTGGCTTTCTGGAAGGAAGGCCACAGCCCTGGAGAGGGGATGAGAACAGTCTTGCATTCCAAGCTTAGCACTCTTGGCCTGTAAAGCTGTAGATGTTGTTTGATTTATAAGTAAAAAGTAGCAGTCAGTTTCTCAGATCCCATTGAAGATTATAAAGGGATTATTTTACCACCTTGATAAAGATTTTTTTTACTTAAACATCTTGCTTCCATTAATGAAAGAAAAGTGATTGCTGAAAAAGAAGGAAAAAATGTTGGGCTAAGAACTTCCTTGGGCCTCTGTGTCCTTCTGGTTCTAGCCTAGGTATTCCAGAGTGGAGTATATAAAGAGGTTCCTTAGATAGAGAAAAAGATCAAAAGTCAGTACTCTCCTTGTTTATTTTGATTTGGATAATGTGAAAGTACCTCAATTAAGCACTTAATTAAGAGACTCTCTGTTTTTATCACAGCCTGTAAGAAATTCTAATGAGATTTAATAATGTCCCAGCTTTGAGCAAGCTGATAAAGAAAACCGAGACTACTATTCAAAATATTTTGAGTCTCCATTGTCTTATGGTGGACATAATCATATATTTTAATAAAGTTTATTCATATTATTTAAAATCAAGGCTCATTGTTGTCATTGTTACTGAATAAGGTCTGGAAATTATAGTTAAGGAATTCATTTAAGCGTAACTGAAGAAACAATTCAAGTTGTATTTAAAAGTGGTTCACAGTGTGGGTTGTTCTAATTCTTTATCATGCTGACTGCTGAATAAAATTGCATTTTCTTTACATGGATTTCATCCTTGGATACCTATATAATTATTGTTATCTTATTGGTATATTTGCTTGGTGTGTGTATGTGTGCGCGTGTGTGTATGTGTGCGTAAAAATCATGCAAATTGAGAGAAAGTTCCTAGCTTCACTTTATACCCCAAACAGAAGTTTACAACAAGTCTCCGAAGAAAAATAAAGTTAAGAAGTAACACTCTTCATGGAAGAGTCATATTCAGTTCAGTGTCATACACTGAAATGTGAAGGTGAGCACTGAGGTGAAGTCTACTGTAATGCACAACAAATGTTTCCTGTTTCTGTGGCTCTTTCCTGGACAGGCAGCCTGATGCAGTAGAAAAGCACCCGTGGTGGGAGTCCATGGCCTGGGCTCCAAGTTGTGCTCGTGTAGAACCTTCTAGGCCTTTCTCCATGGTTCTCATCATCATCTGGGGCCAATTTAATTGGGGAAGAGTTGGGGCCAGGGTTTGTTTTAAAACTCCCAAGAGGGTCTACTGAGCAGTTAGGATCCAGAACCACTGGCATGATCTTCATTCTTCGCTGAGAATGTGTGCTTGTAAAAGGGCATATAGACTCCTGGGTTCTATGACATGAATGAATATGGAAGCTTTCATTCTACACGTTAGTTTTGTCTGAGAGACGTGGACAAGTTACTTTGAGACATAGTTTCCTCAGCCTGCAAACGAGCAGGTATAGTAACTCAGATGATTTCTAAGGTTTCTTTCAATTCTAACATTTTAAATCAATTTAGATTAGCTTAGATTAATTTTTGTACCCCAATGAATTAAATTTCTCAGAGTTAGCCAAAAAAAAAAAGACTATTATACAATGCAAAAATTAGAAACTTAAAACACATTTTTTAAAAAAAACAGAATGGGACCTATTTATTCCTCTTTAATCCTTTTCTTTCCCAGATCCTTTTGTATTTATTCTTTATATTTTAAATTTTTTTTGAGGGTGTTCTTCAATGTTGGATTATTTTTCTTCTTGGTGGACTGGGGCAAAATTCATGAAAATGATTAGGTTTGAGTTGAGAACAAAAGAGCTATTTTTTGAGTGCTATCTAAAGTCCTTTCTGGAACACGATGGAGAATTAAAGAAAAGCAAATAAATAAAAGCAAAACACTTTCCTCAGCTCATCTTATTTCTTTTTTCTCTAACTCAAACTTTCTCAAAGTTCTCTTCCCAACTTGCTGAAATTGTTCAGAGCTCAATATTCTTCTGCTATCCTTCCACCTTTAATTTATTTTCATTATATGGTGTCTCATCAAAATGTTAGATTCAAATTCACACAAAAATGTGGGAGGGTAGAGAGAAGGGAATGAAAGAGATTAGAGAGTTAACATGCCCCAGGCTCAGGGTCACATAAAGCATTCCCTTTCTTTCCTCAGAGTTTAACAATAAAAATAGATAGTTGTGCTGAAGCCAATCAAAGTACTCTATTTTATACTTTTGCATGGGTTTTGCCATCAGGCAAACTTGAATTTAACTCATGTTCCACCACATACCACATATGATTTTGTGCAGGTTTTGAATACTGTGGGCCTCAGTTTCCTCACCTGGAACATAATGTCGTACAGTCACGCACTGCATAATGACGTTTTAGTCAATGACAGGCCACATATATGACAGTGGTCTCATAAGATTGTAATACTATATTTTTACTGTGTCTTTTCTACATTAAGATATGTTTAGATACATGAATACCATTATGTTACAGTTGTCTACAGTATTCTGTACAGTCACATTCCGTACAGGTTTGTAGCCTAGGAGCAATAGGCTATACCACATATTCTAGGTGTGCAGTAGGCTATACCATCTAGGTTTGTGTAAGTGCACTCTATGATGTTCACATAACAATGACATTGCCTAACAACATGTTTCTTAGAACATATCCTTGTGTGACTGTATAACATAATAGTTAAATGGAAGTTTATCTAAATTTTGGAAACAAACTTACTGGGTTCAAACTGCTGCTTAGCTGTGTGATCATTGGCCTCAATTTTCTCATCTATAAAATGAGGATCATAAATCATATTCGACAATGTTGGTTTAAGTGCATTAGGAAATGTGCTTTGGATTGCAGAGGAGATAGTCAATATTCAATAAATGGTAAGTTTTGATATTTTATTGGGTGGTTGTGAGGATTAAATGAGATAATGTATGTTTAATGCTTGACATACAATATATTGACATAGGTGTCTCTATCCCAAATAATTTTTTAAATGTAATTGCTTAGGACAAACTAAAAATAAAGGAAATCATGATTGTTTTAAGTTATATTGGGAAACCAAATTGTAATATATACCACTTACCTACACCATGGCCCTCAATATTTGTATGTAAGTGAAAACAGAGTCTTTGGGTCTCTCCATGCAACAGAAGTGATAAAGGAGAGAGAAATGCACGTGCAAGTATACCATTCTATTTCCACATTTGGCCTTTTGGGTGTTATGAGTTGATAATAGTTATGCATTGTTTGGGGACTTTAAAAAATCAATTTTAATAACTATAAGGGACAGCTTCTGAGTGGTGACCCAACAGACACCAGCCATTCAGCTGTGAGCCAGAGCCCTATTAAAATAAGGGGAGAAGGGAAAGAACTGAAATTATCAAAACATGCCCCAGAGATCATGGATGAATTTCTGATTTTCCTGATATTATTGCAGAGAGCCACATATTCAATGCTGAATATTTTACATTTTTAAGAAAGAAAGTCGTAAAAGTAAGAATAGTATCTGCATACAAACTAAATTCAGTTTTGGTCAGTTTATGCAATAACCTAAACCTAACCTAACCCAATGAGCAGGTTAAGTAAAGTATAATAAATTCGATGGCTCTAACACCAACAAATCTGGTAAGAAAATAGTGTCCTTTATTTGACTTCTAAAGGTAATCTGGTCTCTACTTCAAATCATAAATTGCAATAATTAGGCATTTCTAAAACTAACATTTTTAATGAACAAGGCTGCAGTGCCATAACACTATAGGTACTAGGCAAAGGCTAAGTGTCTTTACAACTGGCTATATTTTCAGAAGTAACTAATATTTAATCTCATTTACTTGCAACCATCTTGTGGATGAAAACATGAAATGAATAGCCTATAGATGCAGATGTATCTAGAATACCATACATTTGTTAAAAATATTGTAAAAGAATTGCTTTGTGCATTCGTGACCCAAAGCATATGTTACTGGAATGGGATGTATTATTTCAGAACTATCCTTAGCGCTTGCTTTGGTGATTAGATTTTATGCCTGGGTAATTGCACTTTAGAATCAAGATGAATTATAAATAAGATGTATAATGGATTAGAGGCAATGGGTTGTGGAGAACACCTCAGGTACGTTATTATGAGAGATAGGCCTTTATTTCCATAATCTCTCCACTAAGATATTACTGTAATTACTGTCTGTAAATAGAAGCTTAAGTGAAAGTCATGGTACAAAGGTGAAGCCACCAATACAGATGGTAGTTTGTACATATTCATAGGTTTTCTTGATTTTATTCATTTATCATTTGCTTTATGTGTGCTAATTTATATTTTCACATAATGATGGAAAATGACTAAAACTAATGGGAAAGCATGTTTTAGAATGTACTATTTGAAAAGCATATCAATCATAATAAAAAGGGTATTTCACATTTAAAATTTGGAATGGAAGATGGACTACATTAAAATAATTCGCTACTCTACTAATATTTTTGTTCCTAACTGAACAGCATTATTTTAAATAAATGTAGAAAAAACATAGCTGTAATAACTTTCTCTTCAAGATATCTAAAAATCAACCTTGACTACTTAATAAATATCTTTTACAGTAAAATAATATTGCTGAATCAGAGAATTTTACAACTTCAAAACCCAACCTATCATTTTACATTGAATAACTATGTAATAATTAAGGCCTGTAGCAATTAAGGGAATTGACCAAGGTCACATAGTTAGAAGTACAACCAAACATTCCTTGGGATAAAGAAAATTCCATCTCTTGTCTAGAAAAATTTCAAATTCTTTTTGTCTTCTAATTTTATATCTCTCATGATTACTGCAAAGGTAACATATTTTATATGCACCACACCATCTCATTTTCCACCCATACACTGTGTGTGCACATGTATATTGGGGTGCATTGTGCCTACAAATGCAATATATATGCTTACTGGTGTGTGTACAAATGTATAAATAGATGTATGTAATAGTTATGATTTAATAATAATAGTATGGATTATTTTATTATATGTTAGTTCAAAACAGACACATTCAAATGAATATTGCCCTCTAGAGCAGTCACCAAAAAAGGCTATAAAATTATTGCAAGGATGCATCATAAGAGAGTTGCAGTTATTCTATAAAATTGTTCTTCAAACAATGTGGAATTCATATGATGGCAAATACGCTGTATGGCATGTCAGTTTACAAAAGGGCTTTAACATATATCTTTCCATTTAAACATTATGCTGATTCCATAGTTGAAAACCCCAAAGTTCAGCAACAAACAGAATGGGTACCCTGTCCAAGTGGTGGAGCTAGACAGATTCACTGAAACCAAATTCCTTTTTCTTTTCACTATTTCATGCCCATTCTCACAAAATTTATACTTATTATTTGATTTGTACTACTAGGTAACAATAACATTATCCTCTTGCTACCCTGCCTCACATTGTGAGTACAAGATTAAATAGAATAGGTTAAGAGTATGTATGAAAGTAAATATGATTGCAGCAAAGATAGTGCTGAGAGTATTTCCATTTCGCTCCTGAAATGAATTGAGCTTAAGCAGGTTAGTAGGAGCTAGCTTACCTCACAGGACAAGCCAGAATAGCCTGGGGGACAATCACATTTTTCAATCAAGTGAGCTGGAGGAGTTACTGCTGTTACACGTCCTTGTTCAGCTACCTCCATGGAGATTTCAGAAATCCTGAAGACAACAAGCATATACTTAGATTATCACACCAGTCAGTTATGGTCATCTAGTAAGCAATCCTACAAGAAGAATCTTCGCAGGTTTTCTTCGATGTCAAACATGTTCTAGTCTTTTTTTTGTCTTTAATTGACAAATAATTGTATATATAGTTGGCCCTTGAACAAGATGGGTTTGAGCTGCATGGGTCCACTTATATATGGATTTTTTTCTGCCTCTGCCACCCCTGAGACAGCAAGACCAACCCCTCCTCTTCTTCCTCCTCCTCACTACTCAATATAAAGACAATGAAAATGAAGACCTTTATGATGATCCACTTCCACTTAATGAATAGTAAATATATTTTCTCCACCTTATGATTTTCCTAATAACATTTTCTTTTCTCTTAACTTACTTTATTGTACAAATACAATGTATAACACATATATAAACTATGCATTGGTCAACTGTTTATGTTAACAGTAAGGCTTCCAATTGACAGTAGGCTATTAGTAGTTAAGTTTTTGAGGCGTCAAAAGTTATACATGGATTTTTGAACACCCTAACCCCAGCATTGTTCAAGGGTCGAATATATTTATTGAAACAACAATGTAATGTTTCGATATGTGGATACATTGTGGAACAATGAAATCAAGCTAATTAACATATTGTTTTGAAGCTGCCTAAATTCTAGGGGCTCATGTGTCACATCTTACTACTGTATTTTTGCTTCCTCAATGGTTGAGATTACACATTAGTAAAATATTCACATACATCATAAGAAGTTTAGTAAATTAGATGTCTGATATCCTGTTGAGATGTTATTATAAAGAGTTTTTTCCCATTTCTTAAAATATGAGTGGCTTCAGATAGACATGGCCAATTAATTAAACATTTATATTCTTGCAAACAGACAACCCAAGGTCATTTCCCATATAATATCTCCTGTTGTCACCAGTGACATTGCTTATAATTTACTGATTTCTTCCTCTAAAGCCTGTGAATGTCCTTTCAAGAACTTTAGAAAACCACTTAGAAAACAATGATCAAGTATAATCTAATAATATTGATTTCTTTCTGAGGACAAAGAACCTTTCAAATTAATGTTTTGTTAACTTAATTAAATAAATCCTTTAAAGAACTTTATTCACCCTTCTTGGAAAAGTCCTTATAATTGAAAAAAAATTATTCCCAGTTAAAATATTGATGCCCTTTTCATTAATTTGAAAATATACATTAAAAAATATATGCAGTCCATAAATTCAGGCTATTTCATGACTGACTAACTGGTAACACAAAAATGTTCTGCAAATAAACTTTAAAATGAGACAATGAATAGTTTTGCTTCAGTAAAAGGCACCTCCAACAGCTTAAGGAGTTTGAATCAAACTTTATAACAAGTATAGGTATGTTTTATCGAAACTGAATTATGAATGCATGTTCTGGCTTCGCTAGCACTGTAATCTGCACTCTGAAAATCAGTCAGTCTTTATGAAACACACATTTAGTTAAAATTCAGGTTTCTCTCCCCTCCTTATAGTACACACAGATGTGGTGAGCTGTAAACAATCCACTCCCTTCCTGTAAGAAAGACTCCATGCTTATGTTGTCTGAGACTCCTTGTGGGAGTAAGAAGGGAACTTGTTGTTTGTTGATAAGTCCTGGCCACTGGCATCTCCATCATATTTTATAGCCCGAGGAGCGACTAGTGCCATCTTCCCTTCTTTTGCACATGCATGCAGACAGCACACCAGCAAGTGTTTACAAATCAAGTGAAGCTTGAAGGGCAACAACAATAGATATTTCTGCACTACACCCTTTTTCTCAGGGGATTAGAGAGTAACAGTTTTGACTGTATCAGGGATTTGGCCAAATTCTGGCTTCTATTTAAATAAATACTGAAATGCAAAACTTATTATTTCCTTCAAATAAAGATAAAAGGAGACAAACGGGGAAAAAAAGAACAGAAAAGAAAATGTCAGCACTGGCAAAATGTACAAAGTTCAAATCTCAAACCACATGCTAACTCTTGAACTCTCTGCTTCTGAGATTAAAATTTGCAACTGAATAAAAAAGATTTAGGGTTATGTCTCAATTACCTTTGGGGGAAATATTCAAATCTTTTTAACTTTTGTCATGATTCCACTGTTTTACAAAACCAAGTGCTGATGATCTGCCTTATTTATTGTTATCATTGCTGAACTATGACTCTAGTTTTTCATTGACCTGAAACGTGAAATATTTATTTATTCTAAAATTTTAAGAAAAGGTCACTTAAACCAAAAAATCTCATTTAGCGAGGTATGAGAAATAGTGTGATCAGAGAAAAAGACATATGGGGTCAAAAAAAAAAACACACAAAGTGTCACAGTGTAGTGAGGTGAAATCAGTGGGAGACAGGCAAAGAAGTTACAATGAAAGATGCATGACAATATTGTTTCCATCAATTCCACTAACAAGGTGTTCTGTGTACCACCAGACTCACTGCAGTGCAGAACAATTTGCAAAATAATCTATTTGCATACTCACAAAATTATCTAGTATTCTTCTATGACATACAAACCTGCTATGGCTTCGGCCTGCCACCTGATTTGATATTCTTAAATAATTAACAATACAGCTGACAGCATTTTCAAAGTACATGCTTTTTTATTATTTCATACAAAAACAATCTCCTGTTTCGGTGAGAAATATCAAAAGGAAACCAAAGGAATACAGATTTAAAGTGAATTTTGGTCCTTGATTTACTCCTTTATTAAAAGTCTCCACATCAATGAGAAAAGCAATATGGATCTTCTGCACAAAATATTAATTAAAGGACTTTCTGCTCTATTATGTGCTTACTATAGTATAAACATTTGAAGTATTATATTTTTAAATTCATTAGTTTCCTAGTGAGAGGCTTCATAGTTTTTTTGTTTTGTTTTCCTAGGCTGGTCTAATAATTTATAAAATGAGATTATCTATGAACATATATTGATTCCGTATTCTTAAAGAACATAACATAAACTGACATGAAAGAGAAATTGAGATTACGTGTATGAACTCAACTCAACTCTGCCTCCATGGTATAAAATTTATCTATATATGTGTGATTTCTCATTTCATCTCATTGGATAAGGCCATGTGTGTTCATGATGTTGAAGTCCCCTGGATCCTCCGTGAGATTTTTCTCTTTATTTTATATTGTTAATATTTTCCTTGCTACTAATCCCTTTCCCATGGTCTATAAACATGCTTACTTTTCTCACAAACAATCAACCATCCTTTGACTGTTGTACACTGGGCCCTTGCTTCCTTTTACATTTATGTTCATGGAAAACAACAGGCTACACTCATAGTACTAGGTTCACGTGTCTCATTCATTCTTTAAAAATTTGAGATTATTTATGCCCCAGGACTCCACTGAAACTGGTATCATGATTGTTACCAGTACAGTTCTAATTGTCAGTCCCAATAGGCTCATTTTAATTGGACTCTTCAGGTCATACAAAAACCATGGATACTCCTTTGAAGTATTCTCACCATTTAGGTTCCATGATACCACGTTCATTCTTGTTCATCTTCTGTGTTTTTTTTTTTTTAATGTGATTCCCAAAGATGTATGGAAAAATCATGATGCATAGGAAAATGACAATATTATATGGCACACTGGGGTGAAGACATCAGAATGTTCAGGGTTGAAGGAGACGGGACCAACTTGGCCCTGCCTAGTTCCCCTGATGGGCAAAGGAAGTCATTCATTTTCTCAGCACTCTTATAACCCAATGATAGCACAACAGTGAATTGCATATGAGCTACAATACATGTTTTTCTGAATTTCTGACTGGTATCTTAAACTCACCATGAATTCACTATATCTAAGGTAAATTTAATTTCTTCCTCATAAACTTGCTTCTCATGCTATTTTCCTTTTTTTGGTGAATGGCAGTAGCTTCTGTCAGGTCACATGGAAACCAACCTTGGCTTGTCTTCTATCATCACACTGAAAAACCAACCACTTCTACATCTTTCTTATCTGATATCTAACTGACCTTCCCTATAGATTTCCCCACAGAAGAAGAACTTACCTTGGGTATTTTCTATTAGAGTTTACCTGCTTTGTCGCATGATATTTCCATAGGTAGCCTTGATCAGAATATAATGAATATCATATAGTATATCCAAGAAGTCTTCACGGGTCACAGTTCTACTGATTCGAGGATCATCACCATAATATTTCCATTCTTTCTGTTTGCAAGAAAAGAAACCATTCTGACAAAATTGAATGCAAAACCATTGGCGTCTTTGCACTGAACAACTAACAACTTTACCTCTGTCATTTCAATTTCATGCCTGGTCAACTGGCCAATTAGAGGAGCAGCCATATGCCTGATGATTATTCTAGCATGAGTAGGAGTCCCACCTCGAATGATAACTTGAGGATTATAAGTAGAGAAACCTGTCTCTTCCCGAGCCTCAAAATAGATTGCGTACTTGAGTTTGCCCCCATAGGCCATCAACTGACAAAATAAAATGGAATGAGTTAGATGAATCTCCAAAAGGTATGATTCCAAAAAACATTTTATCTTGTTCTCACGTGACTTCGAAGTTCTTGTTCTTACCTTCTTTCCTTCAAATTGTTCTGGAAGTTTCCAATAGAAAGGTTCCAAATGGAGATCTTGTCTCACTAGACTCATGTTTGCAATAATCTCTGGATGTTGAAAAGCAATGCCTTTGGTAGTCGTGTGCTGCAGGGCCTCATCCACCAGGGGTAGAATGGTCTGCTCCGGCTTCAGAGTCACCTTCACGGGGTCAAAGTACAGCAGGAGGCTGAGTTTCAGTTTTTTGGACATTCCTTTAAAACTAAGTTATGGACTGCATGTCTAACCTGCAGCCTCTGTCCTCATTCTGATGAGGCATTCTCATAAGAAAGAGAATTCACACAGTGGGTTGGCAAGGCAGGAGATAAAGTTTTTTTTGACCAGTTTGCATAGTGAAAACCACAATATCTGTGAAAATTGGAGTCTTTTACACTAATAAAAGTAGAATTAAAAACGAACATGCGCCCACCCTAAAATTTGATGATTTCCTAAGGCTGGTTGGAACAAATGTGCAACAAGTTTGGTTTTCATGGCAGTGTTAGCACATATCAACACTCATGCTCTGGTGCTCTGACTCTTTCCATTCCACACTACAATGCTTCTCTCATAATGCTTCCCGTTTTCACTTGGCATCTATTTCCTTTTGAACAATACGTGAACTATTTTTAAGAAAGAATAAGAAAGGCATTTGCTCCAGCTGTCTAACGGCACGTGGCCCCTTTCCCATTTCTAAATGTGCACAGGGGAAAAGGTTACTTAAATGTTTTGCCATTTCCTACTACCCCTCAGCGCCTGACTAAAAGACACCAGCAGGAACTAACATTATACCATTACACGGCTCAGCGGTTCCTTACTCACCCACGTCCGGATCAGTCCTTTTGCTTCAGAGCACTGAGTGGTAGCGCCAAAGCAATAGCAGCTGCTGCAGCCAAGTGGATTCCTGGCATCAAGGCCAAATTTGCCAGGCCGACATCTGTCACAGTGGACACCTTCCACATTCACCTGAAGAAAGATGAGAGTCCCTCAGAGTCCATAATGGCAAAGAGATGGGGAAAATCAGGTTGAGAACGAAAAATAGGAGCATACTCTTTTTAAAAAAAAGAAATGAAAACATAACAAAAGAACACTGAGTATTGGACTCATATCTCAGATGGCATATGTAGTTGAATCTCATCGTTCATGGGTCTTTCCAAATTGCTTTCTTTATAAATAAGTATATTCCTAAAGGTATTGTATATTGTTTTTTGAATCTGAGCGGCACATTTCCTACAATTCTGCTGCAAGCAATATGAAAGACTCATGAGAATTTCAAAAGCAAAATAAGAACATTGATTCCTAAACAGTGCTGTTATTCGAAATTGTAAAAAATCAGGCAGGAGGTTAAAAATGTGCATTTATATAATTATTATAACGTAATGTATATACACAGATATAACATGTATTAAATATAATATGTGATTGCAATTTTAAGATATAATAATGCAGCATTGAACTCTGTTTTGGCTGGGGCCTTTGACAGTAGAAGCTGCCATTGTCCTGAATTCTCAAGACTACTTTAACAACCACTGCCCAGATTTCATCCGCCATTTCCTCTGTCCCTCATTGCATAGACTTTATCTTGAAAAAATACCTCTGACACAGTTTTAACTGCACTTACCCTGGGATTGAGTTTTCAGAAATATCTAAGGAGAAAAATCCCTTTTATCCTTTTTAATTGGCTCTTTTTCTACACCATTTAACAATATTAATGAGGCTAAAATTTGCACATAGTCACTGTTTGTAATGACAGTGTTTATACGTGATGAAATTTTACTGAACTTCCACAGCAGTAAATATATTTTCCAGTGTACAGTGATTGCAGATTAACTTTAGGAGAAATGGTTTTTTTATAAGCTTTATTATTTAGCTGTGATTTTCTCTGATCATGCTTAAAAGAACTGTCTTCCCAGCCCTCCCTCCCAGATTATTCTTGTTGAAGCTAAGCTAATATATAAAGAAAAATAATTTGCCTTTACTGTCAAAAATGCATCATCTCCACCAACTAGAAAAAAAGTTGCGTTTAGGTAGAAAAGCAGTGCTTATCTGTAAGCCAATGAACACATATCAAGGAAAACTCAGGATCTCGCAATGCGATTTTGTCCGTTTGTTTGTTTAGCTTAATGAAAGAGGAATAAAGAACACAGAATGAACTGACATCTGAGCAGTGGAAACAGAATTGAGTGAGGTTTTCTCTTACTGCATTTCAGCAGCACATACCTTGCAAGTACATTGCCCAGTCTGATCGCTACAGGAGCATTTTTTAGTCTCTGAATCACAGGTCGCAGCAACTGTCCCTGGCAGGAAGCAGTCACAGAGATTGCAGTGAGGGAAGTTCCAGTGACCTCGATTGCACTCTGCACATTTCGCACCAGAAAATTTTGGATGACAGTTACATTGGCCTGTATTTACATTGCACTGTAAATCCAAGGATCCCACTGAGCTGCAGTTACAAGCCTATGGAGGAGATAAAAACAGCAACCATTAATATAACTTTATGGGAAATATCTTAAAATTTTAATTCTAATGTTTCTATGCTTCCACTAAACACATATTAATCATGTATCTATTATATCCTTTGTACTATTCTAGTTTAGTCGCTTGGGAAACATCAATGAACATAAACATTAAAATTACTTCCTGTATTTATAAATATATAAGATTGTCCAGAAATCATAATGCGATGTGAATAAGAAAGAAAATGTGTGTTCTCTGACTTTTTGTGGTAGGGAGGGCTTAGGTATGGATTTTCTTCAAACACTTTTTGTCTCAAAGATTAAACTGTAGACAAAGTCAATTTACCTTATCATCCCGTAATTGTCACACTTACAACGTTCTATGGAGAAATACCTTATAGTCTAGCAGAGGGAGACAAGTAAATATGTAAATATAACATGATAGAACAGGCATTATGTAATAGGCACAAAATGCTATGAGAACACATAAGGAACACCAAACCAGACTTGGAGGAGCCAGAGGGCACTTAGAGGAGAAATATAATAACATCTAGTATTTTGTTTTTTGGCATTTAAGCTTTGCTGGTAATCTTTTTTCTTTAACCTGGATGTATACAGGATTTTCTCTATTTATGTAATTCAAATTTTTGCTAGAATTTTTAAAAAACTTGAGCCTTTTTTCATTAATTGACTGGAACATGGTGAGTTCTTTCAGTCTGGGAACATAATTGTGTTTTGATTCAATGCTGTTTCTTCTTCAGATTTGTCTTGGATTTTGACATCTGGTCTAATTTATCAATTTTCTTCTTCAAGATCACCTATAATTCATCACTCTTGTCTATCTGCCACATCTATAATATCCTAATGTCTTCTGCAATCATTTTCCTTTGCTTTACCTTTCTTGCTATATTTACCTCTCAAATTTGTTCTCTGTTTTACACCTCCCATTTTACAGTGAAAGTTTTATTGTATGTATATTACCACTGACGCTTATTTTGCAATTTTAGCTTCTTTTGAATAATTTTCTTATGTCTTCTCACTCATTTTCAATTTCTTTTTTTTAAGATATGAAAGTAAAAAATTTATTTTATCCTTTAGAAGGACAGAGAGAATGAGAGAGAGAGACAGAGAAGAGACCAGAGAGACAGTTATGGCATCCCAAAGAAAGAGAAGGGAGTCATTTTCAATTTCTGCTTATCCACTTGTCTTTTTGTCTTATATTCTCTTTTTAAGGGTTTCTGCAATTAACTTACAGAGCTCGTATCTGCTTGAAATTTAATAAAAATACCAAGTAGGTTTATAAAATATCACTCAGGATCTTGGAATAAATCATTTTCAGGGCCAGCTGTGCCAGTTATCAATCTACTATCTCTGCTCTCCAAATTCACCCTGCTTTGTGATCCTATAGTTAGACCTATAGACATTTCACCATGGCCAGCTGGCAGAATGTTAGGTTTAGTCAATAGAGGGCCCTGGAAAGACCACACAAGGCCATAGTGGGGTGCCCATGACATTTCCATGCTGGGTTCTGGTTCTTCATTAGTATCTTCATCATATTTTTTTCTTACTATTTATCACAGGAGCCCAGCAGCCCAGAAAGAATCACAGCTGTGCCCTCAGCTGAAAGGTCACACTCTTTCCCCAGAGGCATCTTTGTAACTGGCTGTGGCCTGCACACACACTCTGACCTTGAAGGCTGCTTCTAAGTAGCCCCAGCACGCTCATATCCTCCAATAACACTGGGCAGCTCCCACAGACCAGCACTTGCCCACGAACTGTGGCATGTGTGTTTTTGTTTTTGTTTTACCACCAGCAGGCTGTGTGCTCCTGTGGTGGCCACATCCTCTTCAAAGAAATCTGAATGTCAGTCCTGCTGCAGGTGGAGAGAGGGAGTGTGCCCCCTCCAACCCCTTCGTTCCTTCACTGACTCCCCTTCCTTCAGCCTATAGGTAGTAGCGGCTATTTGTACCTGTGACTTCAGGACCCCTTACAGCTCTCTTTTATCCTTTTTAAGAAACTAACCACTTTTTACCAGTGAACAGTTTTTTTATATTCCACTTTCCCTGTTTAAATAGCCTGTATGGTTTCTGTCTCCCAAGCGGAGCCCGACTTGGTACCAAAGTGGCTATCACCTCTCTCTGTATCTGGGTTTGCCACCATACAGTGTTTGCACTTAGCCTGTGACTTAACTCTTTTTGGTGCTGTTCTATTTTCCTTCTCAGATCTACAGCTCTATGGCAGACTCACATGCACAGCACCTTGCCAAATTCCCAGACTCAAGTCTGGATGGATCTTACTTTGTGTATCTCACAGCTTCCTTGCTCGGCTTAATTCTTGTATTCACCACTACCAGAGCTATTCCTGCTTCTGTTTTTGCCAAAAGCAGTTTACTGGTGAGTCTTTTGTAGGACACGATGTACAATCACTGGTTTCTCCTCTTACTGTCTCTTTCCTGCCCAAATGTTTGGTGAAAAATCTTCCCAGATTCTGACATTAAAATAATCATCAGGTCTTATTTTTGGCATCTTTATAGTTAAGTATTTTTCTATCTCTTCATTGATATCCAGTAAGAAAAGCCTACAGTAGGTACTGCTACTGAAAATTATCTTAAACCCAATGATGTAAAATGTGATTATTTGTTATATTACAAACATGAACACAGCTTCCAAGGCATGGAATAACCTACTACCATCACCCCAAATAACTTATCCTAATAGAACATCAGATGTGGAATAAAATTTCAAAATTAGGATGATATATTTATTCCTTAAATATTTTTTCTTTGTCAATTACTTTGAGCATATATTTACTCACTTAACCGAAATGGGCTATACTTAGAAATAGAAAATTATAATATGTTATGGAAACTATAATCATATAATAAATTTAAAAAGTCCTGTGAGACATACCTATCTTTAAATAACTAAAGTATGAAATGTCTGAAAGCCAAATAATTGTATAAAACCAAAGCATTAATTCTTAAGAAATAGTTGACAGTACAAATAGACATTGGGACCTTTCCAAATCAGGGAGTTAATTCAGGAAGTTATAGGGGAGAATAAATGAGACCATTAACCATATGTTTAGATAGCACTATAGCCAACATCAAACTTAAATCATAATTAGATATAGTGTTTGTTTAGCAATAGAGGATTTACTCACTATTCCCCTGCTAGTGAAAGATGGCAGGCTTTGTATTCTACTTCAATAACAGCTCAAATGATGTGTGTGCTCACACCTCAGCACAGCGAAATTATCCATGACACAAAGAAAAGGAAGCTATAAATTTCAAATCACTGTTCATTTAAATTACAGTCATCTAAGTTTCTAAAATAGTAGAATACATGCTCATAAATAAATTATTTGGGAAGGTTCTAAGTTTTATAGTTCTTCATTATGATGAAGTGTCTAGCTACTCAGAAATTTAGATTTTTAACAGTGATTTTATAGTAAAAAAAATTTCAATCTAGTTTTTAATCAACATAATGTTTATCCAATGATCAGTAAAAAATGATAGTACCAAACACATAACTACATTTTTGTAGATACTTGGACTGCAATTTTATCCTGATTTATATCCTGAACGTTAGGTATCAGCTTTGATTTCAGGAGTTTCATTGGAGTTTGACCATCTGACAGTATTTTGTGGATAAAATGGAACTCTCAGAAGTTTCCTTAGGGCTTATTCATGGGTCCAGTGATAGAGTGGATGCTTGGATTCAAAGTTGAATATGTAAATGTTGGTCACAGAAAATCATAGCATTGTTCATAGTCTTAAAAAAAACTTGAAACTCTTGAGAAATTTTTGTTTTCTTTCCAAAAATTGTGGCTCTGTGGAACTTCAAACTTAATATTGCCATTGGCAATAGAAAAATGAGTGTCCTGTCTAGTTTTTGTTTTCTCTAATCACATGTCTAATTGAAGTCAGATATCTAAACTTCCTTGAGCAATCACCAATACTCTAGTTCTCCTCTAGTTCAGTATATGCTAGACCAGTGTTCAGATGTTTTATCATACCTATAAAGATGGTTAGAGTCTACTATTTCATGTGTGATAACTCATAGGAAAAAATGATTTACATCTCTACAAGTTATTACCACAAGTCAAACAGGACCACACTTGATCATGATGTTCTAATATTCCAGTGTGATCAATTGGAATGACTCCCACTAACATAAAGATTGTCCTTATTTATAGCTCTTAAGTTTAATGAACACAGTTCAGCCCTAATCTTATTTGACCTCTGTGTTGCAATTAGCACTGATGAATATTCTTCTGTTGGGAGGGATGGGGGAAACAGGGTCTCCCACTGTTGCCTGGTCTAGAGTGCAGTGGCATCATCACAGCTCACTGAAACCTCAAACTCCTGGGCTCAAGCAATCCTCCTGCCTCAGTTTCCCAAGTAACTGGGACTACAGGCATGCACCACCACACCCATGCTGTTCAGGCTAGTCTCGAACTCCTGGACTCAAGGAGTCTTCCCACCTTGGCTTCCCAAAGTGCTAGGATTACAGGCATGAGCCATAACACCTAGCCTTTTCTTTTTGAACAGTCTCTTCTTGGTTCTTAGAGCACTCACATGGTTTACTTCTTTTTTAAGCTGTTAAACTATACGACAACAACAACAAAAAAATCCAAAGACAAAAACCAGGAAACAATTGTTTCCAGCCATTGGATCCGAGTGATCCATGAGTAACTAAGCTATTTGCCAGGATAAAGTTCAACACTTTTTGAAGGAATACAACAAAATCCAATAGACAACAATGAAAAATATAGAATGTCTACCATCCAAATAACAATACCAGGCATTAAAGAATGAAAAAAATATGACTCATAACCAGGAGAAAAGTCAACCAATAGAAACAGTCTAGAAATAAAAGAAATGACAAAATTAGCAGGCAACCATCTTAAAAGTGCTAGTATTTACAAATATTATAATTTTTCAAGAATAAAAAATTGGAGTATAATTAAGAGAGAAATGAAAGATATAAAAAAGATCCTAAAGGAAATTTCAAGGATGAAAAATACAATATTTGTAATGAAAAAATATACTCAATTGTATTAAAAACAGATTAGAAACTGCAGGAAGAAAAATCAATGAATTTGGACACTTAACAGTAGAAACTATTAAAAATTTAAAAATAGGGATAAAAAGAATAAAAAAAAAAACAGAACCTCAGTGAGATATGGGAAAATATTAAGTGGTCAAACATACACATAATGATTCCCAGAAGGGGACAATGGAAGTGAAGATTAAAAAATATTCAAAATTATAATAGCTGAAAAATCTCCAAATTTGATGAAAAGTATAATGCCACAGAGCCAACAGATCCAACTAATCCTATGAAAAGTAAACATTAAAATAAACCCACAAAAAGATAGCATAATCAAGGTGTTGAAAACCAGGTTAGAATTCCATACTTAGCAAAAATATCTTTGAAAAATAAGGAAAAATACTTTTTTGAACAAAAAAGTTGAAAAGAATCATTGTCAGCAAACCTGAAATACTAGAAATAATACTAATAAAGATTAGGGAGGTAGTTGTAAGAAGAAAAATGATATGAAATGGAAATTTGATGTAAACAAAGGAATTAAGAGGATTGGAATTAATACACATATTAAACAATAGAAAATAAGTTTCTTTTATTAAAAAAGATAATTGACTAAATCAAAATCATAAGATTATATTGTAACATATATAATAGATAGAAGTAAGATCTATGATACCAATAGCACAAAAGATAAGAAAGGGAATTGGACGTTTACTGTTGTAAGGTTCTTATGCTAAATATAAAGTGGCATAATATCATTTTAAGGCACATTCTGGAAATATAAAGACATATATCCCTAGACAAACACCAAAGATATAGAATAAATAGGTATATCTAATAATGCAAAAGTGAAGAGAAGATGTTATTTAAAAAATTACTCAATCCAAAAGAAGGCAGATAAAGAAGAAAAAAGAAGGCAAGAGCAGCTAGGGCAAGCAAAAGCAAGTAGTGAAATGTAGACTTAATCCAACATACCAATATGTAATTATATGGAAATAATTTAGATACTCCAATCAAAGGTCAAAGTATTAAGATCATATTAACACCAAAGATTTAATTATATGTTATCTAAAAGAAATACATTAAAATATTAAAAAGAGAGATGGAATAAATGATAGGGCGGAAAAATATATACCACACAAATACCAATTCAAAGAAAGTTGGAATGGCTGAGTGAATATCAGAAAAAAGTACACTTTTGAATAAAGAGTATTACTAGGGAGAAAGGGAACATTTGGTAATGACAAAGGCATCAACTTTTCAAAAAAACATAACAATCTCAAAAGTGCATGCATCTAATATCACTGCTCTAAATAAATGAATAAAAATCTGAGAGAACTGAAAGAAATAGATAAATCAAAATTGTAGTTCAATATGCTCGGTGTTTAAGAGAACAGGTAGATACAAAAATCATTAAGGATTATTGACCTTCATAAAAGATTTCATCTAAAAACTCCAAAATACATATTATTTTCAAGTGCACAAGTTATAATAATCAAAGTGGACTCTATTCTGGGCCATAAAACCAATCTCAATAAATTTCCAAAGGTCTGAAATAATACAAATTATGTACTCAGACAAATATAGAACTAAACTAGATACCAGCAAAGAACTTTATCTTGAAAATTTCCAAATATTTGGAAGTTAAACATCACACTTTTAAATAACCAATGAATCAAATATAAATTAAAGAATATATTAAACTTAATGAAAATTGCAACACAACCTATCATAATATGTAGGTGCAACTAAAGTAGTGCCTGGAAGGCAATATATAATATGAAATGCTTATATTAGTAAAGAAGAAAAATCACAAATCAATGATCTAAGCTTTCATGTTAAGAAACTTGCTACACAAGAGAAAATTAAATTTGAAGTAAGCCACAAGGGAAAATATGTTCATTTTATACAAGTTGTTATATTTATTGGTAAAAATTGTTGATGTTACCATATTATCATTTTAATGTCTATAGGATCTATAGTGATATCCCTCTTCGATTTCTAATTTTTAAAATTTGTTTCTTCTTTCTTTTTTCCTGATCAATCTTTCTAGAATATCATCAACTTTATTAACCTTTTCAAAGAACCAGCTTTTGGTTTCTTCTAAAGTGTTTCTTTTTTCTATTGCATTCATTGTGCAAATTCTTTCGGAATGAGGAGGAAATGCTTCCCAATCATTGCATGAGGCTAGCAGTACCCTAATACCAACACGAAACAATACTAGAAAGAAAAACAACCTCCATACCAATATTTCTTATGAACATAAATCCCAAATCATTAACAAAATGTTAGCAAACAGGATCAAACATAATTTAAAAAGGATAATCCCCAATGACCAAGCAGGGTTTATCTGAGGATTGCCAGGTTGGATCAACATTTGAAAATCAATCAATAAAATTTACCACATTAACAGCTTAAAAAGAAATATTTTATAATCATCTCAATAGGTTCAGAAAAGGCATTTAACAAAATCGAGCACACATTCTCAATAAAAGCTCTTAGCACACTAGGAATATGAGAGAACATCCTCAAACAAATAGGGGGCATCTATAGGCAAAATATGGTTAACATCATCCTCAACTTTAAAAGACAGAATGCTTTCCGTTTAACATAATGAATAAGGAAAGGGTGTTTGCTTCTACCACTTGTAGTCAACATTTTACTGCAATAGGATAAGAAAATGAAATTAAATTTACCCAGATTGGAAAGGAAGAAGTAACATTATATTTGCAGATGACATGATTATCTACACAGAAAATCCCAATGAATTTACCAAAAGGCAACTAGAACTAAGTTTAGCACAATATAGAAGGGTAATGTTTAAAAATAATTGTATTTTCCTATTCTAGCAACAAGCAATTGGAAACTGAAATAGAACAAATAGTACCATTAACTTTGCATTAAAAGTATAAAACATTGATAAATTTAAAAATATATATACAAGGCTTGCACACCAAAAACTATCAAACACTGCTGAGAAAAAAAAGACCTAAATAAATGAAAAGTTATGCTGTGTTCATTGG